AGACGTCGTTTAAGCTTTGCAAGCTTTCATGAGGAGATCAGTGCTAAGAGATTTGGGCCTCTCAATAGGCAAACCAAGAGCACGGTCCCAGACGAGAGAAGCCAAGACACCAAGAGCGCGAGATACTCCAAACAAGACAGTGTAGTAATTCATTTCTTTCATTCCATAGTATTGCAACAGTACGCCGGAGTGAGCATCTACATTCGGCCACGGGTTCTTCACCTTACCAGTTTCCAATAGAATTGGAGGAACTACTTTGTATACCTGACTAACCAGCTGGAAATATAAATATTATATTGATTATGAACAGATCTTTGAAATCTTCAATGACAAGATACATATATTCAAATTCGTTACATAATGATTTTACCTTGAACAGTTTGTCATCTGGCAAATGTTTCAAAGCAAATTCTCTCTGGCAAGTATATCGAGGATCAGTCTTTCTAAGCACAGCATGACCATATCCGGGAACAACTTGTCCGCTCTTCAAGGTGTTCCAGATGAAGTCTTTAAGCTTCTCATCACTAGGACTATCACCAACTTGAGAACGCAGTTTTTCTAACCAAACCAATACTTCTTGGTTCGCAAGACCATGGAGAGGTCCAGCCAAACCGTTCATACCAGCCGCGAATGACAAGTAAGGATCAGACAGTGCCGAACCAACCAAGTGGGTTGTGTGTGCAGATACATTTCCACCCTCGTGATCAGAGTGAATGGTCAAGTACAACCGCATCAGCTCAATGAACTGAGCGTTATCATAACCAAGCATGTTCGCAAAATTCCACGACCAATCTTTGCCAGCATCGACCGATCCTAACCCCTTGCCACCTTTATAAATGTTTCTATATATCGTGGCTGCTACCACAGGCAATTTGGCGATCAGATTCATCGAATCTTCATACACGGTTTCCCAGTATTTGGTTTTGTGTACACCCTGAGTGTAAGCTTTGACGAATTCACTCTCGCTGTTCAACAGGGTTATCGCAGCAGAGAACTGCGTCATTGGATGAAGCGACTTGGGGAAATTGTTCAAAGCTTTGACTACATGGTCAGGTAAAGCGCTCCTTGCTGCCCACTCCTTCGATAGCGCTTTTGCTTGGGCATCGGTGGGAACGTCACCAGTGATCAGAAGCCAGAAAAGACCTTCTGGAAGCGGCTCTTGGCCGCCAGAAGCTTTTGGCAGAAGTTTTTGACATTCAGGGATTGATTTTCCACGGAATCGGATACCTTCTTCAGGGTCTAATACCGATGGTTCCCAAACCAAACCTTTGATTCCACGCATACCACCATACATCTGAAATGTTATAGTTATAATTAAAATAAAATCATATAAAGTATAAACACAATATATTACTGATTAATTTTAGTGATTAATAATACAATAGCAATTGTTTACATTGCTTGAGGCCTCATTGCACAGGAATTAATTAATTTCGTTTCCAAGCCATACCTCTTTGTCTGTGAATAAATAAATACGAAAACTACTTATAAAAAAAGATTTTAGACGCTTTTTATAAAGAAATAATTATTTTTTTAATTATTTAGAAATAAGAAAAGAGATGTAAGGATATTACTTATAAAATAATCTGACAATCGATACTGCAAATGTGGACCAAGAAAAGCAGAAAGGAATTGTATGGATTATATGTTATTGCACATCATATTTCAATAATCCTTTCCGTTTAACTCATACGTAAAACCCATAAAAGCAATGTGACCTTAAAAATTTTTATCTAATTAAACTGTCTTGCTAATAAGCTCAATGACATCTAACAAATATATTGTTATTTTAACACTAAACGTACCGCTACCGGTTCTCAAATTTTTTTGAAAATTTTTATCAATTTTTGATAAATTTTTTATCAATTTAAAAAATCATTTTTTATAAATTTTTTATCAATTTCTACATTGTCCGATTAGTCACTTTTCCAATTTTTATTTTTCCTTCTGTTTCTGCTTCTACTAAGAAAAATTTATCTTCTAATATGTTCACCTTCATTTTGCAACCAGTTATTCAACTGGTTACGATAGAAATAAGTATATACAAAGCGTCGGTACGTTTAACGTTAAATGACCAACCAACCATTGTTCATTATAAATTTATCGAATCGTTTTTAATGTGACTACGAACACATGCTGGTATCAGTTTCACATGACTCGTTACAGTACCGATCATCGGGTTAATTCCGAACGTAAGGCATAAGGCAAAAAAAAATAAAAGGAACCAATTCTGATCCCGTGCTTGCCAATTGAGGTTCCACAGTAACCGCACAGCGTACACGAGTCTACCGTGATCACATGATAAGCACGCGACCTACAACCGATTTTGCGGCTGCTACCACCGTCTATCGCTTCTATTCGTTATCGGTGTCCAATAAAAAATAATCGGTTACACTTCTTGGCTCATGAAAAAATTGTCTCCACGTGGATCGTCATGCTAATTACGTGACTTCTTTGTGAATTAATCTCGTGCCCGATCGAACGATGATCACTTTTTATCCATGATCGCGCGATCCTACGATCTTTTTTCTCATGTGTGTCGGGGAATTACGCAACCGGATTAGCTGCATACCATGTCCACGGTGACCTCGCCGACTTTGGTGGCTCCATGCTGCTTGCGGAAACTCTTGACGCGCTCCTGTTCCTTCGGGATCTTGTCGGCCAGAACTTTCCTCAGATCGGTCGAGGCGTCGGATAACGGTCTCAAGAACACGGCGGAAGTTATTTTCTGGAGGATAAAAGAAAGCAGATGGTCAGTTGACGAATTAATCAATGGCTTACCGATAAGTTGATCGATGTCAATTAAATTACTTGAAATTTCCTCGTGTATCAAGGAGATTAACGGCCGAGCGATAGCTCGAGATCAATTCGAGTAAAAATTTCATTTATCGTGGGTCATTCATTTAGATAACAATGGAGAAATCTATTGATCGCTGGAAGGCCGACAGGATGTTGATTTCAACGAGTTTTTTTGATTAATGAGATTAGTTACTGTGCTCTTTTCTTTTTGGAGACTTGATTCCTTATCTTTTCGGTAACCATTCTTTAAAATGCTATCTAAGAATCGTAAAAACTGGCCAATGACTAATAAATAAATGTAATTCATAATATTCTGTTTTCATTATCAAAAAATTTATGTCTAATACTGTTATTAACTATTAAAATAGTTATAACATTTTACTCATTTTTTATGCAAGAAGTAATTAAAGTTTTAGCAGTTGAATGATTAGATCTCGTCTTTAAAAAGAATAATTAGAGTTTTGGTAATTGAACAATTTTTTAAAATAATATAATGTAATTAAATTATATTAAATAATATAATTTTGCAGGCAAGTAATACAATTTCTATACATTTTGTCTATAGATTTATAAATTGATAGGAATGAACACGTTCGAATTGTCATCGTGAATTGAATTCGATGAAACAGTTGTATCGGTTTCACCGAACAATCATGCGTGAGTTCTGGATTACGTAAAAATACGAACAGCCTCATTATGATATACTTGTCTGATACAGCACACACGCGAAGAATCAACTTCCGCGCGCAATGCCGTGCTCGCTTCGTGAATGTTAAAACTGACGTTGGCCGGTAAAGGATATATTCGTTTTGGAGCTACTGTATTCTAAAATTAAATCCTTAAAATAAAATTCCATTTTACACACTATTCTTGTATTTTTTTCTGAAATTTCCGCTTTTAATCAACCGTTTCTACAGACTCCTCTATTACGTAACAAACACATTTTTCTTAAACACATGTCAAGATAAATATCGTTAAAAATTAAAAATTATAATTTCTTCAAATAACAAATAATTTGGTATTGTATATTTCATTTTCAATGTGGTTAGTAGTATTTTAATGTAATATGCACAACAATAATACAATATAGACATTTCAATGGAGCTGCATTCTTGTTAGTATTATTCACAGCCAATTGAAATTAGATATCCATTTAATTTCATTCCGTTTCATTTCGCTTGAATTTTCTTTAGAAAAACATGATTTTGCATAAATGTTTAGTTACATATCCGCCGGATATGTTCACGTATCATTTATGACGTCGCTTTACGTAAAACGTAAAATTGTTTCTGGGATTACGTTGCAGAACGATTGTAAGCATTACGTAAATTTCGGAATTTAAGAAAAGGAAAAAGGAAACACGTGAGCGTTCGTCGAGTATCAAGAGAACGTCAATGAAACGTTGCCTGACGACCGTGGTTTTTTTTAGGAGTCGGAGTACATAGATGACCACCAGAACGAACTCCAGCGAATCAGCGGCATCGGGTTGGGGTCAACCGGGTCTCGCGTTAAAGTTCATTATCAAAGCGTAGACCTTGGGGAAATGACATCGGGAAACGGTGAATTATGAACAAAAACTATTTATCGGGATCATCACGTAATCGAGTCATTGCCGTATCATCGAACCTTGCGATGCAGGAAGTTTCTAGTGCTAGCTTCTTTCTAGTGCCATTGGCATCAAATGCTTTATACTTTACGACACTAAATAATTCCTGTCGTCAAATTTGATAACCTTAAAAATCTACGGTAATGATAAAAAGATCGTATTGTATCTCTTTTTATTTTTTACTTTACACAATTAAATAATTCGCGTATCATAAAGTTTGATAACTTTAAAAACCTACGGTAATAATAAAAAGATTGTATTGTATGTTTTCTTTACTTTACAAAACTAAATAATTTCGTATCATAAAATTTGATAACTGTAAAAATTCACGATAATAATAAAAAGATTGTATTGTATCTTTTTTTTCTTTTTTCACTTTACGAAACTAAATAATTCGTATCATCAAATGTGATAATCTTAAAAATTTATGGTAATAATAAAGAGATCGTACTGAATTTTTGGATAAGATTAACAATTGTTTTCCTTGAAAATGAACAGATTGAAGGAGGGTAAATTATAATCCTAGTTAACGTAATTCAGTTCATTCAAAATTTATTCAGAAACACATAAGTTGTAACAACCATATGGGATACCTATAAGTAGCTTAATATAAGGGATACGTGAATAATTAATAATTTAAACACAATTTAAACATTAGAAATAATTATGAGCATAACTATACGTAATCATTAATTCTGAGATTTTATTATACATATCTAAATATTACATATCGCAGGAATTTATTGTAATTTTTTATTCAACAACGTCGACCATAATGTTGTTAACTCGAAAACAGGACACAGATGTGAGGACATAAATACTTTTTTATCATCGCTTATGACGCAGGACGGAAGATTGTTATTTTCAATACAAGCGAAAAAAGAATGAAAGCTATAATAAAAACGACTCACTTTTTTTTAGAAACGTGTATTTGCAAGTATTTACAATATTCCAGGTATAAAAGTATTTTAGGTTTCAACGTTTACGGATTTCAGAGCTTTTGATTGCACGTCTTTTTCTGCCGTTGAATATTCCATCGCTAAAAAATAGTCCATTGTATCTCGAGTACGGGTAAAATCCGCAGATAGCGGAAAATCTGTGGCGTAGCTCTTTGCAAACATAGAAACGTGAACAAGTTTTACAACGTGGATGAGGAATTAGGTCGAGGCGAGGTCTCGATAGAAAGGTAAAGGGGACAACGGCCGAGATGGCCCTGCGAATCTTCGTATAGTACTGTCAGACTTCGATTATTGAACTGTGGACCGTTATGCATTCATAGTATTTGAAAATTCACGAAATATAGGGAAGTATAGGGAATGTAGAGAATATGGAGAAAAATATAGGAAAATATGGGAAAACATTTACATGAATAAACACTACGTAATGCCATATCTACTTTATGTTTATCACGGTGAATCTTTTTTCGAGGTAATCATCTACTACTTTATGATTTGGATAAAACGGTCTATGAAAATGAGAATTTCTGTAGAGTATTAGAGTAGAGCAATTGAGAAGATCTGTAGAGTACTGATTCTTCAGTAATGCAGCAATTACAGAAAGCCATTTTGTAAAAATTTAATCTCTTAAATTCGTGGTAGCAAACAGGTTGATCCAAATATGTATATCATCCTTCCAAGAGGGCAATTGTGAGATCATTTTATTTTTCAATTTATTAATTTTTATTTATCATATTAATCTGCATTAAAAATAGCAAGGAAAAAAGTTTCGTTAATAAGTTCCATTCTGAATCGAAGACAAGGAAACATTATATTAAAAGAGTTTTAAAATATCCGACACATATTGACTAATTACTTGGAACACTCGTTATGTAAATCAAGACCGATAAAAATATAAGAAATTTTAATATCGAATTAATTAATATTCAAGGAGATATTTAAGTTGTCCGTGCAAGATGCGAAACGAAGAAAACAAAATGGCCCATCGTTTTAGCGAAGATCAATTACCATTGTATAAGTGGTTAAAATTGACGACACGTGCTAAATTGTAAATCTCTCTCTTCACTTTACAATTCTATTTCTGATGCTCGAAATCTTCAGAAATTACGGCATATTATGTAATACTATTCAAAGTTGTTCAAGGTTAGATAAAGAAAGCACGAAACAGAATTTTAATATTAAGATTCCAAGTGCTTAATATTTTATTTCCTTGTTTCAGAATATGTATTTGAAATATATTATAATTGTATCAGTAATTATAACAGAATACGAACAAATCTTGTGATTTAATAATTATAGGGTGGACGAAATATTTTTGTAACAAGTTGTGTCATTGTTGAGTGAGAAGGTCTCGATCAGTGTTGGCTTTACGTAAGTGTGATGGTATGCACTTACACCGAACTGGGAACGAGACTGTCTTTAATATGAGATGTGCTCCTGAATATAAATTGTCGTGACCTTGACATTTCTACTAAATTTTCCATTCATCGTGCTATACTCTTTAAATTCAAATTAGATGATTTATACCTTCAAAATACCAAATTATTCTTGAAATAATATGATCTTATTCTAAACAAAAAAAAGTGTATGTAATATGATAAAAATAATGTAGTCTAGTGTAGAGAAACAATTATTTTATTGTAGCTATAAAAATCAGGATCATATGTTTATTAATCTTGTTTTAGTTTCTCTTCTCACTATATTTGGGTATAAACTATTTGTTAATTTAATAAACTACACTGTACTGTGATTTAATGAATGAAACAAATACTTTTAACGTTTGTCAACGTCGTGGATTGTTTGAAAGATCGTTTATGGTCATTTTTATTTTGATAAATCTGATAAATCTTCTTCATATTATTTTTATATTATTATTATCATCATTTGATTTATAATTTTCGTATATTTTAAATGTCAAATCGAAACATAACTTTTTCTTAAGACATTTTTGTAGATATAGACATTTATGTATATCTTATTTAAAATACTCTCAAAGTATATTAAATTTTCAGTACATCTATTTTTTATAAATTATATGAATAGGTAATTAATGTTTAACCATTCTATATTGTAATTAAAATTCGTTTTCAATTTATGTTTGGCTCCTTTAATTTCGAAACCAGTTCATTCTTATGTCATTAGAAGGTTGTCATACTATGAAAAATACGGTATAGCATATTCACTGCTCAAGTTATTTATTGTGAACGTATAAGTAGATCGGAAAGCACACAAATACAGCAGGAATATTAATGTGAGCAGAACGTTGTGTCTGGAAATAGGCCAAAGTTAAGAGTAAAATGCTCGACCAAAAATAAACAGTTTCACGTGTTGTATAATTCAGACTAAGCTACATAATACACACGTGATAAAAGAAAGTGGAAGCAAATAGATATCTGTCCTTTGCCACACAATGACATTCACTGTTGCAAAATTTCCTACTTATATTTGTTAATGTAATTCACACAGCCACCGATTATATAATGCTATAATAATAATTAGGGAACGTGCATATGAACGTAAGAGGAAATAAAACCACTGTATAACACATACGACGTGGTTTGAATTTCTTGCCTTCTAATATCGACTCTACTATCGACTAATGGAATTTCAAACAACATTAAAAAAATATTTATAATATTCGGTTCATGTTTATTGAAAGACTGTCTTCATGAATATTTATCACCTAATTGTAGATTCAGTTTTACAATCAATATATAGTATCACTTGTTTTTAACATTAATATTTTCGAATTGTTAGCGGCAAAATAATTTACTGTTTTAATTAGAAAAAAATGATAAAATAAGTGGTCAACAAATTTCCTCTATTGTGTTTAACTTATCTGAGTATGCATATCAGATTTGCGGTGACGTTTTCAAGCAGAATTGAACTAGAATAAGCATTATTTATTCAATTTTATTCTGTTATTAGAATATTGCTTGTACATATTCAAATAGCTGAACACTGTTACACGCTCAATACTATGTCCCTGTATCACGAATGATATATTAACGCCAGGAATTTATCGTTTGAAATGCAAGTAACAATACACTTAGTCTGTAATGCAAGAAGGATATCAAGTTGTAGCCGCAACGATGTAACTAAATACTAATTGAACAGATTGGTAACGACTTTTATTTCCGCTCCGCGTGTCGTTACCAATCGAATAAGGAATTAAGCATCTTTGATTCGATCCCTTCACCGACATTCGACTCATACAAGCTAATTAGTATACAAAACTCGACGCTAATTGTCTCTACTCGCATAATTCTATTCTCTTGCAACCGAAAGCTTCGTTAACCTTCCGCCGGCAATATAAACTCCTATATATTATTCTCACGTATACCTCGAGCATCCCATCTACTAAAAGTTCAAGATATCTACTATCCAACGACTACAACATTTCCATTATCAATTTTAAATAGGATAGACCGAGGCGAATCGGATCACACGATGAATCGGATCGACAGAAGAATCCAGTCCACATTTGTTGTATCCTAAATTATATTTCTCATTTCTTATTTCTTATTTGCTAAAGGAAGATTAAAAATTCTTTTTCGTTTTTCATCATTAATACTAGGTTTACGAAATACACACATATATACATATTAAATTAGGGACTATATTAAGTACCTTAATATTTTTTTAGATTTTTACAAAACTCACAACAAGGAAAAATTAAAAGTGATCGTTATATTTTCATATTCCCAATCGTGTTCGTGCAAAACCATATTACCGATGAAAGGGTAACTTAACGCTAAAACTACCGAATATTTAATATAATTAACATGCAAATGCTTCCTGTAATAGTAAACAGAATATCATTTTAAACAATTTTTTAAATATGCAAAGTATACTTAACTCTCGGTTTACACGACACTCGAATTGCACAATTTCGGTGTAACACGTTTGAAAAAGAGTGGAAAAACTTTCATTTACACGGCACTTGTATTTCACTTTAACACGCTCAGGTCAAACAAATACAAAAATTTGAATTTGCATAAAGATCCGCAGTCTATTTATTATATTATCTAAATAAAATTAGTAATGTTTAATATAATTTCGGATATTTAATACGTTTGTGATATTAATTAGTGCAAAATATGAAAATTAAAACCAGTCATTTTGATTGATAGTTCTACTATTCCTAATATTACTAATATTCTTAACATTTCTAACATTCCCATATTGTACTTCTTAATATTCCATAGTTCCAATGTGTAATTTACTTAATCTTCCATTTTTCGCAGGATTAAATATTTCGAATATTTTCATTCAAAGTTCCCATGAGGAAATAAATCTGAATGCGTGTTATCTTAATAATATTCGCAATTGATCTCTGATACTCGACGCTATCAATACCAAGTACGCAAATATATTCAATATAAACTATGCTGGAATATTATTAAGATAGTCGTGAGTAAATATTATACATAATATTTGTGCGCATATTTATTTATTAATATTTGATAATTAATGAGTACTAAATACAATCTAGTAGTTTGTATAATTAATTTGATAAAATAGGCATAAATTCAATAAAAACTAATTATATTAATGAAACGTAAAAACAAATGCGCTTTAAATAAATAAACTTGATTTTGTCTTTCTTTTTTTCAACGAGATCCCTTTTTGGATAAATCGGCGATAGTTAGTCAATGACGAACAAAGTTCAATACAGCTTCTCGCCAATATAGTTCACGTGCTATCTTGTAATTAATAAATGGTGTTACGCAGTAACAATTAAGTCGCGTGTATTCATCAATTAATCGTTCACAGTCGATACTTGTATAATGTTGTGGGAGGCTGATAAATTGATTGTAGCACACTTCTGTCATTACTTCGATTACTTAAGACATTTATATAAAGAAAACACCTATTAAAAATTTTTATATAAACAAAATATATACTTTTTTAACACAAAATAATAGATAATTAAAAGCTTCATTCTTGTTTTATAAAGATGTAAATATCTTATTAACTAACTAACATTTTGTAATTGCAATATAATTATTGAAAGTATCACTTAAATGTTACAATACAATATTTACTCTCGTTATACCTATCAAAAATTATTAGTATGATACAAGTTAATGAACTCTAAGAATATTACTCTGCGAAACAATAGTAATTTTTTTGCGGTAAACTGTTGCTTTCTTTGCTCAAGGAATGCTAAAGGAATTCGAAACAGTACTAAAACTGACGACAGTAATTGTAAGTTTCCTTCTTCGATAAAGTAAAATAATGAATACAGTGCGGACTTTTATGCAAATTCAAATTTATTAAAACGCAGTTAGAACATAGGGGAATATGTAGGGATACGTTTTGGACATTTCACGCATCTTTTCGCATCATATGGCTTCTGTGCACTTTCAAATTTCCAATAAATTTTATGTTATTATTTATCGTTTACAGTTCGAAATGTTTTCGGGTTTCCATTGCAAAATTTACCTTGCCTTTTTTAATTTAACTGTAGCTTGGTGTAATGCTGTTCTAATGTGTTAAGAAATATCTGAGAAGCAACCACATTGCATTTGTAATTTTGTTTTTAATAAAATTAGTTTACAATTTCATCTAATTATTGAAGTTAAATAAGAAGCATAAGTGATCGATTCAAACGGTAGTAAATAAAAACTTATTTTAAGTGCTATTTGTGGAAACGAGTACACACAATCTCCAATGTTTATATTTATACCTTAATTAAACGTAAATCGATACATGAAGTTTAAAGCATTCGTACTAATTTGCAAAACTTTGATGTTTCGAGTAAATATAATGTTACATTACATAAAATTTCTTATTATTCAAGTTCACAAAACATTCTTTCGTTATCATTGCGAAAAAATTGCCAGCGAATTATTCATGACAGTAGGTAAAACGGTTAGCAATATGTAATTTAACCGTGAAGGTAACAGCGACATTTATCGATCGCGTTTAATCTAAAGTACACATCTCGTTGATTTAAATATTACTAAAAGTCGAGATAAATAAAATGAAAAATTTTATATAAATTAAATGGAAACCTCTTTAAACGAACAATTCGAGTAATTACCAAAATTAAATCAACGAATTTAATATACAGAAAATAACAGATAATTAACAAATTTCATTGTTGTTTATGAAAACGTGAATGTCTTATTAACATGTCGTATTTGTAATTTAATTATTGAAGTTATTATTTAAAGCGAGTAATTTACAATTATTCATGGCCGTAGACAATGTTATAGCGTATACGAGCAGACGAGCGCACACTCTTACGAAACATTAATTCGCTGTGACAGATGCAACTCAATTTCCCCCTTAAAAAATTTATCGTCGAGCATTATCGAATTACAGGCTCTGTATTAATATTTTCACAAGTGGTCAAGCGAGAATCGAGTACGCGAGATTCAGTTTCCTTTCAACACGTTCGAAACCACCATACTTTTTGAATATCGCCTTTACAATATTACATTTCCTACTCTCCTTTGACAAATTACATCTATTCGATTTTTATGTACATTTATTCCATGTTGTATTATTAGGTCTATAACTGACAAAAAGGTAAAATTAATTTTTTACAAATTTGTCATTTTGAAAATTGAACATTTTTGGGTTACTTTACCACTATAATCGTTACTGAATTAAAAATGTGTTTCTTTTTATTATTGATTCACTAATATTTCATAATTCGTCAATATTTACGACAGACATTATTTATGTTCTGACTTACTAATTAATTCGAAGGTAACTCAAACATAACGTTGTCAAACAAAAATTCTTACGAACGATAATTACTTTTCCTCAAAGCTTTCAAAAAATGTAATTTTAATAATCGCATCAAACACGTCTTGCTTATTTTAGAACGTGCTAAACTGGATTTCAACTTGAACTCATGATTTTCCGGAAAACCGGTCGAGTTTTTCCTGTATTGTTATAATTACGTAACAAAATCAGTATTGACAAATTGATGTATGAAGCATGGAACTGGAATATCAGCATTATAACGTCGACATTCAGAGACACGAATTCAGAAGAGCTCTTCTTTACATATGAATAACTCAAAGATGGCAAATTTGAAGTTGTGTCTTTCTCGTCGTAAATGAGCAAATCATCCTACGTGTATTCGCGATTATATTTGCACATTTGACGTCATTCAACACGCAATGTTCTGTTCTCTTCTCAGCACGATTCGCGAACTGTGGCGATCGCTTACATTCCTCTTTCTTTCTAATCATTTAAATTGTTTGGACAAATTAGTACACCACTGGTAAACATAATTAAGCTACTCCTCGATACATTTCGTTGCGTGGAAAAATACAGCGCGGAACAAAATCTTACTCATACGGTAAGAATGCGAAAATAAAGATACTCATATTTTGCTCACCATTAACTGCATGTTTTACTACTTCACTTTAACACTGTTATTTTGTTATTAACGTAGCAAAGCTTTTTAACCTATAAACTGTGGAATTTAGTTTCAAAAATCTCGTTTTACACGCAATAAAATAAAAAAATAAAGTGTGCACTCGGCAAACGCGGGACGAATGCACCTAGAGTATGTTTTAATGAAAAACCAAAGCAAAACAAAGAAAAATTACATATTTATCTGAAAAAAAATAAAAAATTCAGCTAGTATCATTTTGATTTTAAGATGAGGTGTATACTCGTCGTACGCAGTTAACTAGTTAAGTGAAAACAACTTTAACACGTTAAATACCGCACGATTTTAAGGAGATGAATACGCGAAATAAACAATTACGATATTAAATTATTATATATTAATACAATATATTTTTTATTACTATTAAATTATTTAATAATAATTAATATTCGTCTTGCTGAATGTTGCTGCATTAGGTAGTGTTATTTACCATACACGAATGTTTTCAAATAATCATCGTTTAATTGAGGAAATTACAGTAATTGAATTTGGGCGGGGGTCGCCGGTGATTTCCATTGGCATTCAACGTGTTAATGAAACAATTAAAATAAATTGACATATTTGCGACCGGGAAATCTTTCGCTGTTCTAATACTCATTGCCGGTGAAAATGAAGAAAATTTTAAGCTAATCGGCGTAAATTTCTGACGTTAAAACAGAGATAAAAATTAGAAAATTTGTTTTGAAATGTTGGTCTTGTTATAATCTGCTGTTTGAAATGAAGAAATTTCCGTTAAAGAAGTCGCAAGTGAAAAATATATTTGAAAAGACGTGAATTCACGTCAACGGTCGCGAATGTGTTAATATAAATTTCGATAACAAATTTCAATTTAATAGGTGGCTCGCAAAATTGTTTCATAAAAAAGTATATTTACATAAATGTGTATGGTGAAGTTGTTACTTAGGTGGTTGAAAATTAATTTGAAATTAAATAATTGACGATTCATAAACATGATACCTTTTATAATGAATCTTATAACATTTTCTAATTCAATTAAATAAAATCGTGTGGCACGACTGATTAAGTTTTGTATTTTAGAAGCTTCATATATCTTTCAATTTTACTTGACTTGATATTAAATATACACAATTCCGAAAAGGTAACTCGTAACATAATCTCAAACATCGATTGTTTCAAAATAAAAAGAATCTTCCTAGATTCGTTTCCGTCTTCCAGACAGTCATTAAGGATTGCATTCAATGTTGTTGAAAATGTGAATCATGCTATTATGCCCCATACTCTCAGAATTATATCATTGACCTCGTCTCGATAGCCGCTTTCGTATAGCCCGAAAGGAGTTATTGCTTTTAATTGACAAATGAAGTAGAGGTCATCCTTCTTCTAGTCCATTTAGAATGGACAAATTTAATTGTGCCTAATATTACTTATGTAAAAGCATTACGACATTGTCTTTCTTTCTCCTGTTCAAAAATCTTTTATCATGTATTCGATGAACCATGAAATTTTACAGAGATTACAATATGAAAGCATTTTAAGTCTTTTATGTTATCAAAATTAGTCTACGCGATTGAAGGGAAATAATAAAACAATAATTATGAGTGTATAGCTTGTATCGACCTTTACTTTCTACTTTTCTTCAAATTTGAAAAATGTAACCCAATGATGATATGAAAATTATGATATAAAAAATGATCGTGTGAAAAAATAATTGACATCTTGATTCCTAACAAATTTTAATTTTCAATTTTTCCAGCGTCTGTCTATAAGGAAGCGGAAAATTAACTGAAAATTACGTTATCATTTCAGAGAAACGCATATCCAGTAATGGACTGCAATAGTTATGATGTCACTTGAAAAATTACTTAACATGTGTTCCTATGAATAGTATATAATAAACAGTAATATACAAGCATCATGTAAATTCATTTAATTTCTTAAGTGTTTCAAAAGCTTCGAAACAAAAGAAAAAGATTTTTAATATCAATAATGATATAGAAATTTATTTCAATATGTTTCTTGCATTTACATACCCGATTAAAACGGTAAGGAATCAATTATATAATAATGTTAATAAATTCGATAACATAGCGAATTTTCTTCTGCAATAATCAGTTAATTTAAATTTAAATTTACAAAGATTAACTTCCAAAGCTTCATCAATCTTATCGATTATCATACGAATAAATTAATTATCAATGAATAAGAATGCTTAACGATTCTTTGTTGACCAGTAAAAATTTTGAATGATTATAATTGAATTGATTTAATAATTTCGACAGATGTCTAGACGATTCAAGATAAGGTCGTAATAAGAAGCTTGTGGCGACAGATCAATACGAAATGAAATTAGAGGCCTGATAATGCGGTAATGAGTAACACGATTAACCCAGTGCACTAGGACAATGCAGTACCATTGACGCGCGCACCCAAAGTTCACCGATGAAATGACGTTCAGATCGAAGAATTCAGCAATGCTTATTCGAACTCCGACTATGTAAATTTCTTGTGTTATATTTCCCATTAACAATTCGCAGTATGAACATTGAGAAGCGAAAACCTTTCGTTTTATATGTTTCTTGAATTAAAAGTAATGCTTCAGTAATTTGTTAGATATTATTTTATTATAATTTCATTATATATTTAAAAAATATTAAATATAAAAATTAATTGTTTATATACGAAACATGCTTTATATATTCAAACAATTTTTTCCACAAAGTTTTGATTCTAATAAAGATCTATAATTTGAAAAAGAAATCGATCCGGCTGAAAGTTTAATATGCTTTATTTTTTAATGTTTAACAAAGTAAATTTAGTAAGATTTGATTGAGTACCCCATTTTCTAAATGTGTGCAAAATGTTATTAAAATACAGTTAGTTAGAATGAAAGTTCAATTCTATCGCGTAAAATATTTTACAGTCAATGGACAATATAGAAAATTAACTTTCTAACAAAATAATCAAGTTGTTCTTGATTTATTTCACACGAGTGTCATAAGTTCAGAAGTATAATTGGTCTGATAGGAATTGTTTTAACACGAGTAAATTTCATTCTATTTCGATGCAGATACCATAACGTCGATTACCATTCGGATCAGAATGTGTTCGAAAGGCTGAGAGATTGAAATTCTCTGGCGAATGTGCCAGAAGGTCGACAATCGCGAAGGATTAATACAGCAAAGAGAAGGGAGGCTTTCTTGTGGCAAAATCGTGATTATCCCAGCCTAGTTTTACTCAAGCGAGAAAAGAAGGGTCTGGAATCTCAATTCTTCCAAATTATAGAGGCTGCAGAGGCATCCATCTAACGTAAATCAATTTTATAAAATTATAAATTATAGAAGTTAACACCATTAACAACTGTATAATAAATATTTATCGATCAGAATCTCAACACAATCTTAATTAGAATTTCGTTTTATATTATATTTGTTTGCTTTCTTGTAGAAGACCAATCATCTTTTTTGAAAGTCAATTAATAGTAACATACAAATTTAATTAATATATATATATATATTAAGTATAATAATGTTATTATATTATTATATTATTAAAATATTCCAATTTATTAAGAAGAAATATTTTATTTCATGATATTTAACTTTCCATATTGTTTGGATACTATTTTATCTGAACCATAAAACATCTCATACTTCTAATATCATATATTTACAAACTTTTTCTCTAAATTTTATCCGCCTCTAATATATAACAGTAATATCTACTCATTCAACTAATATTTAATACCTTAACCCTTAAGTATTTACATAGTGTGTTTCATACATATATTTAAAATCTTGTTCTCTAAATTTTATCCATCCGTACTATGCAATGGTAATACCTAATCATTCACAGAAGCATTTAATACTTTAACCCTTTGCATCCCTATGTCGAATGTGACTCGACATTAGATTTATTCAAAAGTATGTTTCCTTATCAAAGCATTTTTAAATTGTATTATGTTATTATATTATTTTCAGCAGTATTAGTAAAAAGAATTCTTTACACTGTTTTCTATCAACTAATTGTCTTTCGAAATGCATTTCAAATAAAACAATAAAAATAATACAAAATTATCAAGAAGAAAATGTAAAAGGAATGCGAAGAGCACATGGTTGAGTTATTCATTGTACTTGCTAAATAACCCTTCGATTCATTTTAATGAAGGCCTCTCAAAATTCTCTACCATTGCATAACGGTAATCTACGTGGAATCAAGAGACACTGATAGTCTTCTTGATTAATTGTTGGTGGCATGGTTGCCGTGGTTGATCGCTCTCGTTATCACTGATTGCATAACCTGGCTTGTGAAGGGCATTACCAGGCGGAATACACCCGTGAGCCACAATTATCTAATTGATTTCGCGCCATATAATCGTCAAATGGCGCTAAAACGACGGACAAGGGTGTCACGAACGAACCAACCATTATTAACGTTGAAATGCAACCGTCTTGTCGACAATTGAAGATTGAATGTTAAAATGAACTTGGACTTGAACTGGGAGTCAGCGGACAACTACATCTCATAATCGTATGCAAAACCGTGTGCAAGTTCGACCGACAATGGCTCGAACAATTTTCACGCCAAGCACACGAATAACTCATACTTGTAAAAAATTGCCTCATTCACAAGTTACAATTGTATTTAAATTTTGCATGAGATTTAAGTGAAGTTGTTAAAAGGATTTTTGCATATTGAACTTTGAGAATCACTATATATACTATACTATGAATTTTGTGAAATGTATTTTATGTATTAAATTTTGTGGATGAGATATATTAGTAATTAGTATGTTTTATTGATTGTATTTTATATAGGGGAAGATGAGACAAGGAGACACTATCGTTTATTTCTCGTTATGAATCCAAATAATTAAAAATAGAAAAAAATACCAATTATACAGTTGACGATGTGTTGCCAATTGCTAAAGGCACTTTATTTTGTTCTTGTGCACTTGTTGATCATAATTCTGATTCTTTCGTTTATCATGTTATTCTTTGACATGTTTTAAGGAGACATTCTAGAATGACCGATCAAACAAATTGATTTTTTTATTTGATATATCGAAAATGTAACTGTTTAAAAATGTGCTTTTAAAAGTTGTTAGTGATATTCGAAAAAATAACAGAGTTAGAAATCTTGTTGTAATGCTGTCATAGACTGATCAAAATACCTTAAACGCGTTTTCCTCGAAACTCGATTTTTCGAATTGGTTACCACGATATCTCAAAAACTGTCGCATAGGCCGAGATCAAATTCTGCATGTGTTATCAGCACATGTATGGTTATCGCTGATACCTCAATTATGTTGAAATATATTTATTACTAATTTCCACAGTCATTTAACAATAAAAAGAAACACAAAAAACCAAAACATTAAATTCAAAGCACCATTACTTTTTAAAATGTTAAACATATATCCTTCTTTTTAGTACCTGCGATAGGTGTGTTCATACTGTTTGATAATCGATTAAATTTTTTCGTTCAAGATAAGCAGAACAGCTCAAATAATGTCGACTAACAATCTCCTCTTTTTACATACTCAAAGATACGTAAACATTATCACACAAAGCTTACGTCAATAACTTTTTTCAAATCCTTATGAATAAATAAAAAAGCATAAAAAAATACTTGTCACGCTAGAATATCCTCGTAAATATTAACAGCTAGATAACAAGTATTAATAATATTATCTCTTTATTACTATTAGATAAGCAGTTTTTTAAAGTTTTTATTTTTCTACTTATGAACATCAATCATAAACAAATAATGGTATTATCACTTAATTGATTTCTATGCAACATTTCGGGCAAGATGAAGTTACTTAATTTTCAAATAAAATGGTTCAGACACATAAAGGAAAAAAATGAGAAACAGAATTGATTCAAAGAATCAATGCAAAAACCTGTTGATGCAGTTATATAGAAATAAATAGGATATCGTAAAGCAGCTAGATTTTAGTGCTCCAGATCTACATTCAAGGAGAAAGTAGATCTTTATCGAGAAAATCATCAACAAGTATTCGAGACTAGCTCAGAAACCTTCAGAACTGTTATTTTCAATTGATACCTCATATGTGTGTGATATATGCGAATTATTACTATTTTCAAAATTACTTTTCTGTGCTTTCTTCATTAAGTTTTATAAATCAATTTTAATATATTTTTAAAAATAGATATTAACGCTATACACAGTATTTCTACAAACAGGAAATCGCTAAACATAAAATTATTCATCAATTTTTTTTCGCATTCCCACCTTGCCCTACTTTCACCTACTAAATAATATAAAAAATTTTACTGGCGTATTATTTAGCAAATCGTGCGGATATTACATAATAAATGTTCTACATTAAATCCGCATTTCAATATCATGCAATAAATTTTATAATAAATGTATAGGAGCTAAAAAAACATCTCACTATTCCAAAAAGTGTATTAATAGTATGATAAGTTTAATTTGTCCAAGCAATTAATTCACGATCAGCGAGTGAAATAAAAATAATACTTCTTACGAATGAAATCACGAAAGAGTTCAGGATGTTGATAAAATGAATAGAAAAAAATAAAAGTGCGGAATTTTACGAGTTACGTTTTCCTTATCACAGCTGTACTGACTAAAAATATCGGATACAGGATCCTTTTTGGTTTCTTTAATTATTTATAACAAGAATATTAATAACCTCTCCTGATCGACGAACAATTGATAGGTCAGATAACATTTTAGGTACGATCAAACACGTTTGTATTATCGGTCAAGAGCAGCGACCGTTAACAATACGCTGTCACGTTCTATGAAGGCATAAAAAAAAACGATAGTTGCGATTATAGAACGAGTTACGCGATCCGAAGGTCACACGCGTGTGTCTACGACATTAGGTAATCAGCTGACACATCTGTAAATTGGACTAGAAACCTTCGAATTTGCCAAAAATTACATGGAACATATGTCAGACTTTGTATTATACAGTTCATTGGGTATTAACCAACACGAACGACAAATTGAATTTGATTGAATATTGATACGTTAATCAAATAAAATAAATGTCAATAGTTTTAAATGTATATTATATTCATTTCATAATAATGTATAAGCATATTTGAGTATATTTGATGAATAATAAAATATATGCAAAACAGACAACAAAGATTCGAATTTTGTTTAATGAAGAGAAAGTATCGTTAAAAATATTTTGTTATAAATGTATAATGTTTTACTTTAACTAAGTTACTGTGTTCAAAATGATTTGCGTATAAAAGACTAAGTTAATGGAATATTTACTTGAAATATATCATATTTTTATTTTATTTTTCATTCTTTTTGCGTAAATAAGTATCAAATAAATAAAAAGGGGTATTCATTAGTTTCGTTTAAAGTAAGTGAAATTTTTGGAAAGTAAAGAGATTATACTCAAACAGGAGAAAGTGAATGCGTTTGCAAAACACGAAACATATTTATTCCATCGCATTTATCAAATTTTATATTTTCAATTGCGACATTTATAATTCAGTAATCACTGATTGGTACCGCTGCTATCGTTCACCTTGCACATACAGCAAAGATTAGGCTCGATTACGGTGTCAGAGTGACATTATCGGTATGCAGGTGTCTGCCAAGCACAGGTCACGACCAATGTGGATCAAGAGGGCGGAACAGTTTTTGACCTCGAATACATTCTAAAATTATCACCCCTTACGAAATTGTAATGTGGTGCACTCTTCAATGAGCATCCATGCCGATGAAGGAGAAACACTCTAAAGTATTTCGCGCACGGTGTTTTTCTGCGACCTACAAATGTGTGTGTTCCTGTATTGTGTGTATTGGCGCGCGCGCGAGCCCGTTCGTACGTGTGCGCGCTGGCCTTATAATCCAGTACAAGACCATTTTGTTAGAGACTGACCACATAAACGCGATATTACGTGTGTCACGAAAATCTGCCGTGATAGAAATCCACTGACGATGTTCGATTTCAGCCGTACTGACCAACCTTTTATTTTTAGTGTCGATGAATGAAGCCAACATCCTGTGACCGTTCCCCCTGTCACTTGAAAAATTCTACGTTTCGACGAAAAAAAAGAGGAGTAACGGGTTCACTTCAACCCTGCATTGACCAATGCGTCGCAAAGATTTCGAATACGCGGGTTTTATGTTGAATCATGTTTCACACCTTAACCGGCCACTGTCACGCAAGAACGTTTCAAAAGAAATGGTACCTTCATAAAAACCCTTTGAGAAATTATTTTTTCCCTAGAATTGTTTTTCAAGCTTTAAAACTGTTTATTATAATCGTTGAACGATTATTTTTTATTTTTTATTTATAGTGGATAATAACGATTATATGTCCTATACAAATATATTACGTAACGGCCTATAGACCCAGTTGAATTAATGCCTGGTTCTATGGATCAGGTGATTTTTATGCCACGCGATTTGATTCCTTGTGAATTTTTTAAAAACTGGTTTGATGTGTGTACATTCGTTTGTTCTTGTGATACTTTACGTCACTGTCGGATCGAACAAATCGATCGTGAACTGTGTTTGCCTATTAGGCAGTTTGCTCCGAAATAATGCATATCACAGAAACTTCGCAAAGGTGATCTCAATACGTCAGAGAAACTTGGGTCGCAAATGAAGCTATCTTTAACCTTATCGATCAAACGAATCTGGTCCATTCATTATTTTTGTGGATACCATTCACGTGTACGGCGAACAGTGATTTTTTTGAATTTGCACCTGGCAGATGTGATTGAATAAGTTACTAGGCCATCGGTCGATAGAACGCCTACTCTGTATCTAGAACTCGCGGCGTCTTGACCCTTCACAGTGTGGTAAAGTTCTACTACCGCGAAAAGGTCGAAGGGCGCAAAAGTATGTATCCCTGAATGATTGTAACATTCAAATCGAGCCAGTTTTACCACAAAAATGAACGATATGTGTCAAACATCTGCTCGCAGTTCGAATTTCGCACCGGAACAACGTGTACCATTTTAAGAATCATTCAAACATCGTATTGCGTTCTAAGACCGATCAAATTTCGGTGAATTCGTTTGACACATACCTGAACTTCCAAACAGCGTTTGGAACTGAAACGGAAGAGTGCCATTGTTCTTTATATCCTGGCCTACTGATCCTTCCTCTTTCTTGTTACCGTCAAACCGACTATCCAACTGACCACGCGGAGCTCTGGCGCCCAACTCAACTAACTCTTCTGTTAGTTCGTCATAGATACACCGACGGCGCATGCGCATAACAGCAAGTACTTCTCAAAGGATCATCTGTATCGAGAAATCTACCACGTTACGTCCGCGAGAGGTCCAAAACAGTTTTTCCGAAAATTCTGATTAAACAACAATTCTAAAGTACAGCAAACAAATGTTTTCTTATCCGAAAACAATTTCTGTAGCCGAGGTTTCGAGTTCATCGAAAATTTCAGTGGATACCTCGTGCCATTCATACGAGCAAATCGAATATTTTGATGTTTCAGTTGTGTTCTAATATAGGGGATTTTAACTATTGGCAATTACTGTTTAATTTGGCGCGTAATACGATTTCATTGCAATTTTGTTTATTGGTTTAGTGTACTAAATGTGAAGTACAAAAATTATAATAATTACAATCTTTTTCTTAATATCATATTTTTATATTCATATTATTTTCGTTGTATTATATTCATCAAACTCTTTTCATTTTTGAACAATTATTGAAACATATCCAGTTTCTTGCATATTTCTGATGATAATGATGGTCTACAATTTACAAACAAATTAACACGTCCTCTCGTATATACTATTAAAATCTGAAAAATTACCTGTTTAATGTGAACAAGTGAAAACCACAAGTAGTTCCGCTTGAAATGACATCTTTAATAATGCTTGTAACTAATTGTACTCCATAATCGTGTACTTTATTGTCATCATTCTTTATAGGTTGTAAAGTCTTTAGAATATCTTCTGGTATCTTGATATTACAAACTTTTATCATTTTTTCCAGACAGGCATAGTTAGGAATTGGTAAAATACCAGGAATGATTGGTACATTAATTCCATTTGCCTTACAATCATTTACAAATTTTATGAAAACATTGGCATCAAAAATTATTTGGGTTATGATAAGGTCAGCACCTGCATTAACCTTTAAATTACATTAACATTGATCTTGATATATATGTATATTGGAATAACAGTTTAATTAAAATAATTACTTTTTCTTTTAAATATAATAAATCCAATTCTTTGGATGGAGATTCTGGGTGCATTTCTGGATACCCAGCAACACATATACAAAATATATTACCAAATTCATTTCTTATAAAACGCACTAAATCTACAGCGTATGGAAAATCTTTATTCGGGATCTTAGGGTCTGAAATTTCGTTTTTATTGAATTAAAAATTAAATGTAAATATTTAAGAAATATTAAATTTTTTTTAATTACAAAATTGTAAATGTAAATAATTTTATATAAATATTTACCTCCCCGTAATACAAAAATATTAATCACACCAATATCTAATGCTTTCTTTAGAATAAGCAATACATCGGTCCGAGTTAAATAGTTTATAGTTAAATGGAGGATTACATTGTTTGGAAATTGCTCAAGCACATTTAAAGATAAATAATTGTCTGTCAAATCTTTCGTATGCCATGTTAATGCATAAAACAGAGGATGATACTTATTCATCTCTGTGAAAAAGCTTTCAACCAAAAATTTTTAACAATATAAATACGATAATATATTAGACAATGTTTAGTATACATATGTATATACTTACCTTTGATAAAAGTCATTATTTTTTGTAGGTGAAACTTCAAAACTACAAAATATGTTTTTTTCGATAAATGCGGCTTTTAATGACGTTCTTAAATTAACAATTTTATCTTCAGTATTTCTGGACGAAAAACAATTCATAACCTTACTGCATTTATTGGCACCAACCGCATTTTGCTCCATTTTATTTTCCAAAATGAATTCACTCATTGCATGCTTATAAAAGTCACTGTGAACGATTATATACGCACTTTTTCTTATTCTTTGAGCCATATAAGGAAAATTTTGATAATATCGAGTTACGCAATGCGTGAAATTCATAATCTATTCGTTATGATAATACTTATTTAAAATATAGCTGGAATCAAATATATGGTAAAACTATTTTTTTTGTCCAAAAAATATTTAATTCGAATGAAATTATTATATTTTAATTAAAATTAAATTCTTTTATTATACTGTTTTATTTTTTGTACAATTTATCATTTCTTTCTTGGTAAATATAATTTTCTGCACACTTCAGTTATTGGAATATCATATACAGGAGATACACCACCCGGAACTGTTTCTTTTTTTGGACGCGAATGTTTATCCATAATAGTTCTAACATCATTTATATCTGGTGTCATAGATAAATTTATGGCTGGATAAATGATGAATGCAAAAGTTG